AAAAATTAAAAGAACGTCCCACTAAGATCTAGTTTTACTCATGAACGATTGCATAAGTACAACAGTTTATAAATTGATATGCATATTTAGTTTTTAGTATTTATGTAATTAAAGTGGTTAGATACTAAAGGTATCATCATATTGGTCCAAAGAGTAAAAGGATTAAGGTGATGTCCACACTTTTCTATACCATTACAATATTTATTTTTGTAAAAGGATTAATTAGAACACGGGGGAGAGCCAGTTTAAGTAACTAGTATGTATTGTAATGCAACGGTTCGTGGAATACATAAATATAATTGTTTTATTAAGTTAACGTACTTATTAGCGATTTTAATGACTCTACTTAAGTTTCAATAACAACACATAAGTTTGAAGATTTTATATGATAATTGACTGAAGGCAACAGTTTTTTATTCTTATTAAGCACATGAGCGCATGTATATTTTCCTCAATAGTAATTGACAATATTATTTTATTGGATATAATTATTCATTTATGTAAGAAAATTAAAAGTGGGTAATATCGTACATTAATAATAAAATTTGCCCAATTTTAATCAATTTGAAATTTGTGACGTCATGTTACTATGTTACTATGTCATACATTGCTAGAGTACAAACTAAATTGAAGGAGTGTCGCCGTCAAACAATTGTAATTTGATAGATTGAGCGAATCTAGAAGGTTTTTTTTGTAAGATACTAACAAAACCACTTACAATAATAGTACGGAGCACATAAAGAGTAACACACTAAAAAGGAAAATCTGCCCTTTTTCGACAAATAAAAAAAATATAAATAATTAAATGAATATTCCATATGTTAAAAATATTTTACTGATGGTAAGATATTTATCAGTGAAGGGATGAAGATAGGAAGTAAGTAGTAGAATGGTAGGAAAACTCTTTTCTTGTTTTTTCAACTTAAGTTCACAATACGTGAACTTTCATTTATATAGCCAAAATAATTGAATACAATAATATACATTATTGTACTTTATACAAATTATTGTACTTAGTAAAGTCTTCATTGACTTTAATTACCACATGTGAAGTTCAATTCAATCATGTTTCTCAACACTCCCCCTTTGAACGTTCACATGGAATGGGGTACAAGTTGCCTCATTAAAAACCTTGCTAGGTAAAACCCTTATGGGGTAAATACCATAGCTAGGGAAAAAGAGTACAACGATATAGTATTATATGCTTTGGTATACTGCCTCGTTAAAAACCTTGTCAGGAAAAACCCGGTGGGATAAAAACCTGATCGAAGGGAAAAAGAGTGCAGTACATATAATACTCCCCCTGATCTCAGCATAGTTCACGAAGATGTCGCATTCCGATTTTGTGAACTAACTGTTCAAATTTCTTCGAAGGAAGTGATTTGGTGAAAAGGTCGGCAAGATTTTCACAAGACTGAATTTGCTGGATATTTATTTCCTTGTCCTTTTGCAGATCATGTGTGAAGAACAGTTTTGCGGCAATATGTTTCGTTTTATCTCCCTTAATATATCCTTCAGTTACTTGAGCGATACATGCTGTATTGTCTTCAAAGATGATGGTTGGGTCTTCTGTTATTGTGTTCATTCCACACTCCTTTTGGATATTACTGGTCATCGACCTCAGCCACACACATTCCCGTCCTGCTTCATAGAGGGCTATCAACTCTGCATGATTTGATGATGTCGCGGTCAATGTCTGCTTTGTTGATTTCCATGATATTGCAGTGTCGCCATAAGTGAACACATATCCATTTTGTGACTTGGCATTTTGAGGATCTGATAAGTATCCAGCGTCTGCATACCCAATGAGAGCAGCATCTTGTTTTGGTTGGTAATATAAACCAAGGTCTTGTGTCCCTCGTAGGTACCGGAGTAAGTGTCGAACTCCCTTCCAATGCCTATATGTTGGTGCATTGCTGTGCCTGGCTAACAAATTCACAGAGAAAGCTATGTCGGGTCTAATATTGTTAGCTAAGTACATTAAGGCTCCAATTGCACTTAAGTATGGTACTTCTGGACCCAAAATCTCTTCATTTTCTTCTCGGGGTCTAAATGGATCATTTTTCATATTCAAAGAACGAACAACCATTGGGAAGTTGGTTGGGGTTGCTTTGTCCACGAAGAAACGTTTCAAAACTCTTTCTGTATAGTTTGATTGATGGACAAAAATGCCATGACTCAAGTGCTCAATTTGTAGTCCAAGGCAAAATTTAGTTTTCCCAAGGTCTTTCATCTCAAATTCTTTCATCAAGTATTTTGCAGTTTTCTCGAGTTCATTTGGGGTTCCGATGATATTTAAATCATCAACATAAACTGCAATGATAGCGAATCCTGATTGTGATCGCTTTATGAAAACACAGGGACTAACTTGGTTGTTTTTGAATCCTTCTCTCATAAGGTATTCACTCAGACGGTTGTACCACATCCTTCCAGATTGTTTCAATCCATAAAGTGACCTTTTTAGTTTTATGGAAAGCAGTTGTCTAGGCTTGTGGTTTTCTGGTAGTTTTAGTCCTTCGGGGACTTTCATGTAAATGTCCGTATCGAGTGACCCATACAAATACGCACTCACTACATCCATTAATCGCATTTGCAGTCCTTTTGTGACTGTCAAACTTACCAGAAATATTAATGTAGTTGCATCAACCACTGGAGAATATGTTTCTTCATAATCAATCCCTGGAATTTGAGAAAATCCTTGGGCTACAAGTCTTGCTTTGTATCTAACTATTTCATTTTTCTCATTACGTTTTCTCACAAATACCCATTTGTATCCAACGGGTTTTACACCTGCTGGTGTAAGGGTTATTTTCCCAAAAACTTCTCGTTTTTCAAGTGACTTTAACTCAGCCAGCATTGCCTCCTTCCACTTTGGCCAATCACTCCTACGTCGACATTCTTCTACAGTTCTTGGTTCAACATCATTTTCATCAGACACGATGTCGATTGCGATGGAATTTGCAAATGTTTCATTAACGATAACATCTTTCCTATTCCACTGAGTCTTTGTAGAGACGTAATTCATTGAAATTTCATCGTTATCGATGTTTTGAACATCTTGTTCATTCCCCGTAGGGTTGTCTTCTTGTTCGTCCCCTTTTGGATTATCATCATTTTCTTTACTTTCATCCACATTTGGTTTTTTTGACCTTCTGACGGGGGAACATCATTAGTCTCATTTTCTATTCCATCCAATCTTTTCAATTTTCTTGGCTTAGAATCTTTTGAACCAAGTGGTCTTCCACGCTTTCTGCGTGCCTGAGATTCATTTTCTATGGCCTTATTACCAGTTGGGATTTCAATACGTGCAGGGGCATTTTCTGCTGGTATATGTGATTTTGTCACCTTCTTTGTGTCTACAAATGCATCAGGCAATTGATTTGCAACACTTTGTAAATGAACAATTTGCTTAACTTCTTGTTCACACATATTTGTTCGTGGGTCTAACATCAACAGTTGTGTTGCATTCCAAATGAGTTCAATTTCTTTCTTACGTGGGTCCACTTTCTCCCCCCTAAGGCTGGGAATACTGTTTCATTAAAGTGACAGTCCGCAAATCTAGCCGTAAATAAGTCACCAGTCAATGGTTCAAGATATTTAATTATAGAGGGGGATTCAAACCCGACATAAATTCCCAGCCTTCTTTGTGGACCCATTTTTGTTCGTTGGGGTGGAGCAATGGGAACATATACAGCACAACCAAAGATTTTTAGATGTGAGATACTTGGTTCTCGACCACAAACAAGTTGTAGTGGTGAGAATTTATGATAAGCTGTAGGTCTCAATCTAATTAGCGTTGCTGCATGTATTATAGCATGTCCCCAAGAAGATGATGGCAATCTTGACCTCATTAATAATGGTCTTGCAATCAATTGTAATCTCTTAATTAGTGATTCAGCTAGACCATTTTGTGTATGGACATGAGCTACTGGATGTTCAACATCAATTCCAATTGACATACAATAATCATTAAATGTTTGGGATGTAAATTCCCCAGCATTGTCAAGTCTTATTTTCTTTATTGTATGATCTGGGAATTGTGCTCTTAATTTGATGATTTGGGCAAGTAATTTTGCAAAGGCAACATTTCTACTTGAAAGTAGACTAACATGTGACCATCGTGTAGAGGCATCAATTAAAACCATGAAATATCGAAATGGTCCACATGCTGGATTAATTGGCCCACATATGTCTCCCTGAATTCTTTCCAAGAATTTTGGAGATTCAGTAGCAATTTTGTTCATAGATGGCCTTATTATTAATTTGCCAAGTGAGCATGCAGAGCATGTTAATTCATCTGATCGGGGAATTTTGACATTTCTTATTGAATGTCCAACTGAATGTGCTATTATTCTTTGCATCATCCCAGTTGCTGGATGTCCCAAACGATCATGCCATAAAATAGTCAAATGTTTGTCATCTAACTTCTGGTTAGATACCATATTGATTTCCACGGGTCGTAGGTTTATACGATATAACCCCGAAGAGTATGCTGGCAATTTCTCATATATATGTTTCTTGCCATGTTTTTCTGTCGTGAGGCATATATACTCTTTTTGATCTGTTGTCATTGTTTCTAGATGATAGCCATTTTGGCGTACATCTTTAAAGCTTATGAGATTTCTTTGAGATTTACTCGAATATAAAGCATTATTGATTATTAATTTTGTTCCATTTGGAAGCATTATACAAGCCTTTCCAGATCCTTCAATTAATTTAGCTGACCCGAAAATGGTGTTTACATTTGCTTGAAACAACTTTAGTTGTGAAAAATAATTTCTATCTTTTAAGATAGTGTGCGTTGTTCCACTGTCCAAAAGGCATTGATATTCGGAACTAACTTCAGGTAGATCCATATCTTCATAAAATAAATTTGAGATTAGTTTAGAATAATATCATACAAACTTTTATTAATGATAGAGATTAAAAGTACATTAAAATACAGGGAACTAAGAAAATACATTAAAACATAGCATATGTTACATTAGTAGATGAGAAACCTAAGTATTGTTGTTTTCTCCAAGAATGAAATCATTTCCAATTTCAGCATTATCCATGAAATAATCAGACACATCAAGGCTGGGACAAGGAGCATTTTCCTCATTAACATAATTTGCTTCTGCATTTTTCTCTTTGCCTTTTACAGAAGCCTGGTAAAGGTCTACCAAATGTTTGGCCGTTCGACAAGTACGTCCCTAATGTCCTGTCATGCCACATCTGTAACATGTGTCTTTTCCTTTCGAAGGAGTTTGTTTGTGGCTTCCAGATAACTGTCCCTTCTGTTTTTCAAAATTTTTGAAATTACTGTTTCTTTGAAAATTATTTCTACCACGACCACGGCCGCGTCCGCGATAATTCCCACGGCCTCTTCCACGGCCATTGTAATTTCCACGTCCACCTCTTCTTGTAGCATTTGACTCGGGTGGATAGGAATTTGTTGCATTTGCCTCATGATGAGTGGCCAAAGACCCAGTTGGTCTGAGATTATGATTTTTCAACAAAAGATCGCTATTTTGTTCCGCAACAAGAAATACACTCATTAATTCATTAAACTTCTTAAAACCTCTTTCACGATATTGTTCTTGCAACAGTATGTTGCTTGCATGAAAGGTAGTGAGTGTTTTTTCAATCATTTGTTCATCGGTCACTGGATGATCACAGTATCTCAATATAGATACTATCTCATGTATGGTTGAATTGTAATCTATTACAGATTTGAAATCCTAGAACCGTAAATTTGTCCAGTCAAATAATGCCTTAGGAAGGAGCACCCTTTTGTGGTGTCCAAATCTTTCATTAGGGCAGTCCCATAATTCTTTGGGATCTTCAACCATCATGTACTCAGTTTTAAGGCCTTCATGTAAATGATGCCTTAGTAACACTAAGGCTTTTGCCTTTTCTTGTTCGGTAATGGGTTTTTCAACCGTCATTGCAGAAGTGGTAGTATCAGTTGTTTGACCAGGGGGACTTTTATTTTCTTTAACAGTGTGCTCCAAGCCTTGAGCTTTCAAATTCATCATTGCGTCCACTTTCCATTCCAGAAATTTCTTTCCAGATAAATCTAAGATGCTGAACTGTCTTTTCATAAGGTCTCCCATTTTAGCTACAACAAATTTCGTGATAATTAGATTATAATAACAAATTATATGTACAACTCACATGTTTAGTTCTTCCATATTTATATTTAAGTTAATAAGACACGTGATAATTAAATTTAATAATAATAAACCATAAGTAATATAGTCTTTTCTCCCCCTTGGTTTATTATTGTGAGTAATTATATGATTAGACAAAAATTAATCATGTTAGTTGCAAAAAAAAACAGCAAAACAACAACAATGACAGTAGTAACAATAATTATAATGATAACGGTAATATTATACAATGATGATTAATAACAACAAACATACATAATAAAACAAAAACAAGCTTTTAATATACTAAAACGACAAAATAAGTGAGTTTTACTTATACATAATGACAAAAATTAATATTGCTACTAATAAAATTACAAGCGCCGTAATTAGAAGGAAATATTGTTTTATCTTCATTAAATCTTCCTCAAAAGTGAAGTTGTGGGTGTTTTGGTTGCTGTCGTCGGGGAACATATCGGAGAAGAAGGGGGTGAAATTTTTATTTTTTAGGTGATTTTTGGATAAAAAGTGGGAAGAGATAAAGGATTTGTGGTGAAATTGGGGGAAAAATCCGTCTTTTATAGAGGTAGGTTTATCCGTTACTGTTCTGTACAACTGTAAAAATATCATATAACAATCTAATATACTGACAAAAATTATGGTCTAAATATATATATTTATAATTGTAAAAGGTTATCACACTGGGAATGCAAGCCATAGTTGATTAGGGGATTTTGCTCCTACCAATCGGAATGCGCCACGTGGGCCAATCAGGTCCTGCCAAATGTCCCCCAGTTGGAACTGTCAGGGCTTGCCACGTGGCACACGCTTATTCGTCCACCTTGGACCTATTATGTCATGACACGTGGCATACTCCATGCCTAATGGAGAAACCGGCCACCCAGGCCCAACTTCCGAGGGAAGCCCAATCAGCCCTAGGTTAACCTAAACCTAGGATTAGCACGTTTCCCAAGGTTATAAATACCTCCCTTAATCCTCATTAAGGGAGATTACATTAATTACAGAGATAATAGGCTGATCACGCTAACAAAGCAGATTACGCTAAAAACTCACATTAAACACTCTCACCTAGAGAGACCCAATCACTTTAATTTCCGCATTAATTACTTCTTAATCAAGTACTAACTTGACCGTTGGAGGCGGAGCTCCCACCACCAGGAGTCTCCGTTGTTTTGCAGGTACAGGCGTCCGGTTCCAGTCTCGGAATTGTAACTCTCCCGCAGGACATCAGAAAACCCCGAAACATTTGGCGCCGTCTGTGGGGAGAGTACTTCTGAGATGGCATCCAAGTCTGTACCGACTCCTGAAGAGAGGCGTCCCCTAGACGACCCTCAAGTTTAGTCGGACCACGATACTGAGAATGAATTTGAAGTTGAAGCTCACACAGCTTCAGACGGGACCCTAAGGGCCCGACGTACCCGTCATACCGAAAGGAGGGAACGGGAACATCTTCAAACTGGAAGTGAGCCAGCAGGCGCACCGCCTGTTCGGCAGCAGCCGACTGATGGGTCTGCTCCCATCACAAGGAACGAACTCATGACCTTCATGAGGGACTTCAAGGGAGAAATTCAAGAGTTGATCAACAAGAAGCCGTCTGCTCTGGACAAGGAGCAGTCGGCTAAGAAACCCTCCACTTCACTAAAGAGGAAGCCAGTTCAAGGGCGAGAGGCGACTCCCCATCCTAAATCTAGGAAGTAGGAGCCGACTGCCTTTGATTTCACAAAATACCGTTTTCCTACTCCAGGAAATAGGAAACCTGTTCGTCATATTCAGGCGGACGGGTCGAGGAAATCATACACAGACGCTCGGCTACTGCTAGAGCAGAAGAAGAGTGACCGATTGTCAGAGTCGGCCTCTACTTCAAAATTTCAAGACAGTCTGCAAAATACCTCAATGAGGCATACTCAGTCGTATCATGAGAGTCAGTCAGGCGGCACCTCCCGTCAGTCCGGCTTTCATAGCGACCAGGCGGTACCAAACTTACCGTTTATGCCGCAACAACAGTATTTTTTACAGCCACCTCCGTTTGGTGGACCTGCAGCAAAAAATGTCCAACCTATGGACTGACAGCTACGGTTGCTTAGACTTGGTGAACAATCGTCGGCTTTCTCCAAGGAAATTACTGAAGCCGCTCAGCCGGCCAAAGTGAAAAATGTATTAGTAGGCGCCTATGACGGCACTACTAACCCAGAAGACCATCTTATGGCCTTCACCAACCTGATGTACCTTCAAGGATTGGATGATCCCACTTGGTGCAAGTGTTTCCCAGCGACTCTCAAAGGAATCGCACAACAATGGTTCGGCAACCTGCCGACTGGTTGTGTAAATAGCTTCAGGACGCTTGCTTACTTATTCACCTCCAACTTCGCCAAGAACATCCCTACAAAGAAGACGACCCTTGATTTAGGAACAATTCAGCAGGGCGAGAAGGAGGGGCTTCGTTCTTACATCAGGCGTTTTAACCTGATGAGAATACAGATTCAAGGGTTACCGGATGAGGTAGCCTATACTGACTTTTTCAGAGGTCTCAAAGACGGGTCGACCTTCAAATTTGATTTGGTCCGAAAGAGGGTGGCGACTCTTCAAGAGGCCTTGATTGAAGCGGAAGCCTATATACAGGCGACTGATCTTTGTACGGTAAAACAGTCGGACGGGAAAAGGTCCGACAAAAGAGAAGGACGACAGAAACAGTCGTCAAACAAAGATGAGAAGAGAAAAGAGGTCTGGGCGGCTGATTCCTCTAAACAGCCGGCCCAGAAAAAGAAAAAAGAATTCAAACCCTACTCCCCAAAGTATGCGCTTAACAAGGATAACCAGTTTATCCTAAAAGAAATCAAGGGACGGATCTCAATTGAGAAGCCGGTCCCCATGAAGGGTTCTGCAAACAACCGGAACCAAGAAAAATTCTGTGCTTATCATGAAGATGTTGGTCATCACACCAATGACTGCATCAGTCTCATGCGGTATCTGGACCGCCTGGCTGAGCAAGGTGATCTTGACACTTATGTCAAGAAATCTACGGGGAACACTTCCTCAAAAAAGCAGTCGGCCAAAAAGAATCAACAGGCCGACAGCTCCGATACAGATGATGCAGTCGTCTACACCATTGCAGGCGGCTTCTCAGGAGGCGGCCCCACTATTAGGGGCAACAAAGACAATATCAGGCGGTTAGATGTAAATTCCGTTCACCAAGAACGGCCGTCCAAATATTCATTTCCTGAGATTGTCATCACTGAAGAATATCTAGGAGGGGTAAGAGGGCCGCATGACGACCCTATCGTAATTGAATGTAAAGTGACCAACCAAAGAGTTGGCCGAATCCTCATAGATACCGGAAGCTCCTCAGATCTCATCAGTAGCAAATGTCTGTCGAAACTAAAATATCAGACTGATTGCATACATCCGGCCTCCCACCCTTTAGTAGGGTTTGGAGGAGGAGTCGTCCACCCAGTGGGACGAGTGGATTTACCCATCCGTCTGGGCAAAAAAGGGGAAGGACGACACATGGTAGTCCGGTTCCTGGGTAGAAGAACTCTCGGCCTACAACATGATTCTGGGACGACCAACCCTGAATAATTCCAAGGCTGTTATAATCCCATCTCTTATGTTGCTCAAGTTTGAGAGGGATAATGGAACAGTCGGGTCCCTAAGGGGAGATCAGAGGATGGCCCGAGAGTGCTATCTCTCGGATGTCAAGCCCACTGTTATGGCCACTGGATCAAGTGGTGGAAAAACAGACCTTGACAATGTCAAGGAGAGTGCGCCTGTTCAAGAAGCAGGCGGCAACAAGAGAAAGGCATCCTAGACAGGGACCTCACGAAAGGACAGAAAATAGCAATCATTGGTAGAGGAGCGGTCGGATGAATTCCTCCCTCAGCCGGCTGGTGAGCATACGGATCTGATCCTAAACGACTCGTGTCCTGACCGAACAGTCAAAGTTGGGATGACTGCTCTGAGAGTCCTAGGTGACGACTTTCACAAACTATTGAAAGAATACAAGGACATCTTTGCATTCGAAGTCCATGAAATGCCAGGCATTAGTCCTGATCTGGCGGTACATAAACTGGCCGTGGATCCGAAAAAGAAGCCGGTACGGCAGAAGAAGCGGAACCATGGCGAAGAAAGAAGTCAGGCAGCAGCCGCCGAAGTTAAAAAATTACTTGATGCAGGGTTCATTCGGCAATGTTACTTCCCAGACTGGGTTGCAAATGTGGTGCTTGTTAAAAAGCCGAATGGCACCTGGCGAATGTGTGTAGACTACACAGACTTAAACAAGGCGTGCCCCAAAGACAGTTACCCTCTGCCTAAAATTGATAACCTGGTCGACTCAACAGCCGGCCATGCTTTGATGAGCTTTATGGACGCCTACTCTGGTTTCCATCAAATTCCTTTATGGAAGAAAGATCAGGAGAAGACGGCCTTCGTCACTGATCATGGATTATATTGTTACACGGTCATGCCGTTTGGTCTTAAGAATGCCCCGGCTACCTTCCAGCGAATGATAAACACTGTGTTCTTTGATCAGATTGGGAGAAACGTCGAGGCATACATTGATGATATGATTGTCAAGACTAAACTTCAGAAAGATCATCTGTCGGACCTCCGAGAAACTTTCGCCACACTCAGGCGGTACCATGTCATGCTCAATCCCAAGAAATGTGTCTTTGGAGTTGAGTCTGGGAAATTTCTCGGATTCCTTATCAATCAGAGAGGAATAGAGGCGAACCCTGAGAAGGTGCAGGCGGTCATTGACATGCAGTCGCCTCGTACCATCCGAGAGGTTCAGAAGTTAACAGGTTGTCTGGCGGCCTTGGGAAGATTTCTAAGCCGATCAGGCGACAAATGCTTATACTTTTTCCAGGCAATTAAGAAAAAGGCAAGGTTTGAATGGGGGCCGGAAGCTGAGGCCGCCTTCCAGAAAGTGAAAGTTCACTTGCATTCCT